AGTCTGTTTTTCCAATCGCACCTTTGACAGTTGGGCCTCGTGATTCTGCAAAAGCTTGTTTAAGCTTTCTTTCGATCCTTGATCAGCTTGGAAGTCGCTATGGAATACCTCCAGTTCTGCTCTTGCACTAGTAGCTGCGGCTTCTGCTTTCGCGAGATCTTGCTTGAGAGTCTGTAACTGTCTTCGAAGACTGTCAGATTCGTGTCTGGCAGCACTAATATCTTGGTTGGCTTGATCGCTTTCCTCGTCCAGACTGGTTTGCAGAATCTCAACTTCATCCTCCAGGCCCTCAATCTTTTCAGTCAAGGATCTTTGCTCGCGCTGGCTGAGTCTAAGCTCTTCACGAACACTAGCCAGTTCGGATCTTGAGTCTTCCAATGCTTTGCGACGAGCTTGAACATCTTCGTTCAACTCGTTAATTTGGCGTGTAAGAAGAGCTTCTTGACTCTCGTGCCTCTCTTTCTCGCTGCGCATAGCCTCTCGAAGTTTCGACTCTCTCCCAGATAATGAACCCTCGGTCTGTTGAAGTCGATCGATGGTTTTCTGGAGGCTTGCCGCCTGTTCTTCGGCACAGCCTCGTTGGGTTTCAAGATTGCGTTTTTCGGTCTCCCAGTTCTCAATGTCATCATCATACAGGCGTTCTTTCTCCCGGATTTCTGCTTTGAGGTCCTCAACTTCATGACCAAGGCGTTCTATCTCTTGTGTGTATTGATCCCGCACGTCACGTTCGTTACCAAGTGCCAAAGTCTTCTCGTGTGCCAATTTATCTTGGAGATCCTCGATTAAAGCTTTAGCCTGAGCCAAATCTGCTTGTAGACTAGCAGATTCAGCCGTCAGAGCGTCATGTCGACCCTGGAGAAGATTCTTCTCATCATTCCTCTGTTGAAAATCTCTCTGTAAGCCTTGCAGACTCTCGAGTCTAGTAGCTAGAGCCTTTCGCTCACGAATGGTTTGATCCAAGTCATTTTCAATTATCTCAATTTTGTCATGAAGACTCTGCTCCTTCGCTTCACTGTCACGTTTCAAGTCCTCCAGTTTCTCTTGCCATTTTTTGACTTCACGTGTTTTTTCGGCATGCTGCTGTTCCAAGTTTTGGTGTCGTTCTCGAAGATCTTCCAGTTCGTCTTGTAAACGGTTGGCCTTCTCCTCAATTTGGCGACTCAAGCCTTTAGTTGTGATGGACTTATTAGCTAGCTCATCCTGGAGTTCTTCTAGATTAGCTTCGGCATGCTCTTTATCTCGAATGGCTTCTCGATGATCCTCTTTAGCTTCTTCGGCTTCCATTCTCAGGCGTTGTACATCACGCTCTAATTCCTTGATCAATGACTCAGCCTCTTTGAGCTCTTCATTGGATTGTCCCGTTGCTTTCTCTTCCAACTCTATCGCTCGGCGCTGCGATTTCTTCAGGGCTGTCTCTAAGTTAGAAATAGTTCCAACATGTTTCTGAACATCATCCTTCAAATTGTCGATTTCGTCTTCCCTGTCATTAATGAGCCGATCCTTTTCGCGTAAATCTGCGTCCAAATCGTCGATTTTATTCTCCATATCGGCGTACTTGTCCTCCTGGCTTCGCACTCGGTTTAATTCATCCTCCTTCTCCTCCAAAACTTGACGCAAATTATCTAGCTCTTCCTGTTGCCCAGCACTCACATGCCTCCTCTTAAATTTCTCCTGCATATCCAGGATCTGTTGCCGATATTGCTCCACATCCTTTTCGGCTGCAGTCAATGTCTTTCGGAATTTTTGCAACTCCCTTTGCATGGTAACTTTGTCAACTTTAAGCTCAGTGTTTTCTTTTAGTGCAGCTTCACTAAATCCCGGCCCTGCCTTTCTCAAGGCCTCTTCCAGGAAATGGATCTTAAGCTTTAGTCCAAAGTTTTCCTTCTCAATTCTGTCAATGACGTTTTCTTGCTCACGTAGTGACAATTGGTTTCCATCTTGTAGAACCCCAGGCCCCTCATTTCGCCGGGGCAGCAAAGCTGCGGGGGTCGAAGCTGTACTACTGTCGATGTGCGGCATGGGAGTACCAGCCATAAAAGAACCTGTTCTTGTTGAATCGTCCCCGTATGCTGATCCGGCGGGTAATGGGCTGAAACCTTCCTGAATTTTGTCCAATCCACCCGCCCGAAGGAATGCTGGTGTTGCCTGAACGTTCTCTTTGTTATTTCGACGAGTGTTATTCATCGTCGCATTCTTCAGTAGAGGTGTGAACTCTCCTCCGCCAAGCCCCGCTGGCAAATTTCGTCTGTCCCCAAGGGTAGTGCGACTTCTGGGAGTGCGAATGTTGACACCACGGCGGCCATTTTGCATCTGCGAAACTAGGTTGTTGTCTTTTGACGGCGACTGGAAAGACTGTTCTTGTGAGATATCGAAGTCGAGGGCATTACTACCTAAATAAGTAGCATCTCCAAGAGCCGTTCGTGGTGTATCAAGCCCTGCTATTCCCGCTTGCACCATTATGAAAATTGTTGTGAGCTTTGAAGCTCAAATTAATGCAATAAAACCCTTTATAATTTACTGGAAAAAAGATGCAAGAATAGCGACCATAGCGATTGACCCCAAATCAAAGGCAAAGTATTTATTCAAAGTGCAATTGTAAAAGAATAAGCTGAGATTGTGTTTTTTGGGGACGCGTTGGGAGAATCGAAGTTTTCTGAAATGATATCAAATGTAGATACGCGATGGTCTCGATTGTTTACGTTCTTTCCAATGGAGGTTAGCGTCGGGTTGCCAAAACAAACACCTCGCACGGCTCTTTTTTTTTTTGCCAATGACATTGCAGAGTAAACGACCATACCGAATGTTCAGCCTCATCAAACTTCGAAAGTCTCTCGTCTACACCATCTGCTTTGGAAATATCGAAGCTTCTGTAATTACGGACATTGCTAACATGGATGGGCTCGATGATGATTTTAAAGGGTTCGATGAAGGTTTCAATGGATTTCCTAAAAGACTTCCCGATGATTGTGTGGAATACTCACTTTATATCATTGACACCAAGTTAAAGTCACAAAAGGATTTACTTAGCAAGTTAGAGGATGTGCGGAAAGAATCTTTGAAGCTTTTGAAGGATCTTACTAAAGATTATATATGGCAACGGGATGGCTTTAGGGTGGAAACAAAGAATGAGAAGGGTACGATATCCACAACATATTGCCATGCGTCAAATGATTAACGATCTAACAGGCTCAATGTATCTTAACGGGATTACAAATTATGGAGATTCGGTCGAAGACGAATGGCTTATTGTGTATATACTTAAAGAATTGAGCAGTCGATTTCCTACATTATGGATCAAAGTTGTGGACTCCGATGGCGAGTTTCTACTGATTGAAGCTGCAAATGCTCTACCAAGATGGTTGAATCCTGAAATCGCAGATAACAGGGTGGGTAATCTCTTTCATATAGAGTAAGAAATAAGTTCTGACACCTAGCAGGTATGGATTCACAATAATGCTCTTCACATTATACCGTTGCGTGCAATCACTGATTCCTCAACCAAAACCCCAACTGCTCCAATATCTCGATCACTTACCTTAGAAGAAGCCCACAAAACTATATCTTCAACCCCAGAAATACTCATACGCTCACCCATGATTGAAGAAGAGGCGTTTTATCGTTTGCGAAACTATCCAGCCCAGATCGCAGCATCCCTTCATCATGCTCGCATCACAATTCCACGGAAAGTTGCTTACATACTACATCTTCGCCCAATCGCTATAGCCCCGGCAGTCGAAGCATTTTATCTTCGTGATCCAATTGCACTCAAGCCTCTTCAAACACCCTCATCTAAACTTGCATTCCCTCCAAAGGATTTAGTCACCGTCTCAACCCGCTTTACAAAAGTTCTCTATGCACAGCTGAAGTCGCAACAATTTTCTGCCCCTATTGCATGGAAGAATATTCTAACACCGCCAAAGAACGACGCAGGGTTGGATAACTTCACAAGATTAGAAATGGGAATGAAGGTCACCTCAGGATTCGAAATGCTAGTTACAGATCCAAAAAATGCCGATCATCGATCTGTAAGAGAGATTAATATACTTCTAGAGGATCTCGAGGAAGATGCTTCCAATCTTCCTAACGATGACGAGATTTTGACGTGGAAGGACATTATGAGAGAGGACGATGAGAAATGGCTCGACATCAATTTTGAGGACTTCGAGAGAGAGCTGGATGGAAAGAATAAGGACAAGAAGTCGGCTGGGATATCTGGAGCTTTTGGACCGGAACCCCCATCCGGATTTGGCGATGCAAAGACTGAAGCTGATTTAAAGAAAATGGTGGAACGTTTCGAGGCTTTCCTAAACGACGATGATGCCGGTCCCGACGGTGCTGAAATGGACGAGATGGATGTCGATGACGATGAAGACGACGACGACGACGACGACGACGATGATGAAGACAGCGAGGAGGATAAAGATGTTAGCTTTGATGAAGTGGAATTTGCAAAGATGATGAGAGAGATGATGGGTATGCCAACGGATGACATACATGAGCCTGCATCTCGATCTAAGCCAGGAAATTCCCGCAGGGTTGAAGAAATCGATAGTGATGATGAGGATGAAGAGGGCAATGAAATGGAGGAGTTACAAAAAGTGATGAAGAGGATGGAAGCAGAGTTGAACGAGGCTGGAGCGCTCAATCTAGATCCAACCCCAAGCAAGATTGCTGCCCTCGCAGGAAAGGGGATGGGCACTGGAAAGGGGAAGCAACGAGCAGAAGTAGATGAGGATGATGAGGAAGAGGAAGAAAGCGATGAGGAATTGGACGTCGATTTTAATTTGGCGAAAAATCTATTAGAAAGTTTTAAGAGTCAGGGAGGCATGGCTGGACCCGGAGGCAATCTACTAGGTATGATGGGTATGAAGCTTCCTCGCGACGAAGATGACGAAGGGAGAAGTCGTGGAAAGAGACCTGAATAAAGATTGAACAAAAAATTAAGATATTTGACTATTGCTCGGGTATCACTAATTACATCAAAAAATCGCTGGTATGCCTCAATTTTCATCGACCAAATCCTCGATACCAATTTTCTGCCTCTTGGAACTCTCCGCCTCCGGGGCTACAGACGAACTCAGGCTTCGTGCTCTCTTGAGCATATTATTGACTGCAACATCCGCTTTTTCCAATTCTGATAACGCAGCGGTTAAATTCCTCCGATTTTCTAACTCGCGTCTACTGCTGTCGTTTTGGGGTCGGTAGTATTCTGTCACTATTCCCAGTACAGCTCTGTAGCAGCGGTAGAGCAACAATCGTACTTCTGCATTCCCTGTGTCCTCGATGAGATCATCTTCATCACCTGCTTTCCAACCTTCCATAAATCCTTCACTAGGATTTTCGAAAACATTTGAGAGTAATGGATCTCCAAAGACACCCTGACTCCAGTTTCGTAGTCCTGTCAATTTGAGACTTTCAGTCGGGATGTGTGAACTGCCATCTTTAATTCCATTTTCGATCATTACGTTCCGCTCGCCTAGATCTAGTAGTACTAATCTAGGAAGTTTGACAGAGTCCATGCGCCAAGATAGACGTTGGTAGTGAGATCGCACTACATCGTATGGAAGTAAGACAGCCATATCTTCTCCATCGCGTAGAATTGACTCAAGTAGGGTATTGAAAGCTTCTGACCAAGTTGGGGAGCCTGAGCCTAACGGGGCTGCAGGAGGCGATTGTTTAAAGGAATCTGGGAGGACTCTAGCTGCTGTACCAAATTTGCCGTTGGGTGATGTGAGGGAAGCTAAGCTTCGAGTTAGAGATCCGACTTGTTTGTCGATGAGACGCCGATCGGGTAGACTAAGGTATACTGAGAGTGCAGAAAGTGTTCTTCCGGCTGTCGGTTCGAAGATTGTGTATGGTAATGCCATCTCTCGGTTATTGGATGAATGCTTGAGCATTTTCGGTATCACGTCTTCTAGTTTGATAAATGCTAAATTATGTTCTACGTCTTCCACGCCATTGGTATTTACGCCTTTGGATTTTCGGCTTGACGTCTCGAGGAAATGTACGAGGGTTGCTTCAGAGTACTGAAGCGTGGTCTCGTGTCTCAAGAGACGAACTGCTAAACTGGGCGCAAAGGATAGGAGAAGCTTGTTATCATTCGACATGTTGAGAGTATATAGTCTGGGTAGTTGGGTAGAGGGTAATTCTTCGACACTTCCTAGTTTCATATCCGGTACCACGTGGCTTAGTATCTCCTTAAGACGTCGTACTGGGACCGAGTACATAAGCGACGTTTTGAAGGACTTGCCAGGGACGGCTGTCTTGGACGAGGCCATTATGAACAGTGAGGTGGTATTCAGATATGAGGGTGAGATGTGGATATGTATGACTTTGGGATAAAGTGGAGTTGGTGGGTTTGATCAGCCTGAGGATGAGGGTGAGCAGATTGATAGGGATAGGATATGTATGCCGTGTTTCTGTAACCTGGCAGTAGCTGTTCTCGGTTGCTTGCTGACTCGGAAGATAGCCTTGCCGGCTTTTACCTTAATATGATTTGTATAAGGTTGGCCAGGAATATTTGGCGGCACTCTGGTCTCGCCAATTCGCTTATAGTGTGTTTCAATTGGTTCAATTCCAGTCGTGAAGTCCGTGGCAACTAGCTCCTTTGAGCTCCACAATACTGGAAATTAGATCTTTGGAAGATCGGCGGTGGAAGGGACGCACAACACTCAAATTATGTGATTAGGTAGAAATATTGTTCTGCATCGAAGTATTGATGTACAGTTATAAAAGTAATGGTCGTGCTCTATGGTGTTTGGGTATTGGATCCCTTAAGGTGGTACTCAACAAAAGATTGGTGCCTGCAAAGAGATGCAAGGCAGCCACCTCTTTGAGACCCCTGAAGTATATCTTGCGGGTAAGAGAATGTAAATTGGGTAATTTCCTAATCAAGAATACTTCTTTGAAACGGGTAAGTGGAATAAAACAGTCAGTTCCTGGAACCTAACCGGCGACAGGATTGATTGAGGATAATTGTGGGTGGTTGATGGACTTGAGCTGTATCGGGTATCTATTTTGTCGTTGTATAGCTAGCACTTTGTATGTCTATCGACGAAGAAGTAGATATAAAGTAATTCTCGAAGCGAAAGATGGATGTCACTTTTCTAACGAGAAGCGGAGATTTGGACGAAAAGGGTTTAGACAACCGATTGGGGGTGAGATTAAGACGTTGTTTTGAACGATTCTGGATTCTGGAATATTGGGGAGGACTTTTCCGGGACATGGAACTTGGACTAGAGAGGCAATCTTTGAGAATCATTCATGTATGGTGACAAGATGAAATAGAATCTAGAAATTAGTGGAGTGCGCTTGAGGCGTGTATAGGAGTTCTTTTCTTAGATAGCTCCCGCCATGGAATAGCAATCGTGTCTAGTCACTAGTGCTGGAACTTGGAAGCTTGGTTGGCCAGATGTGGAGACTTCAGGTACGGGGTGTTCGATGTAGGTAAAATTTAAAGAACTAGATCATAATGGGTAACAGGATCTTCAATACCCCGGTCTATTTACTATCATCGATCCAATTACGGGATTGTCGAGAGTCGAGATTATGTTTTTGTTGAAAACTTTGGTCCCCGAGACATTGGCATTGATGCAAGAAGACACCGATGGCTGTAGAAGTAGAAGTAGAAGTAGATGTAGATGTAGATGCAGATGCAGATGTAAAGATTGAAAATGCAGTTCGGACATGAACGAAGGAATACACATATCAAACTACAACAAGAACGGATAAGATGTCGTATTTTTCTCGAGGGATTTGGTATTGATTGGTATTTGTGGTTGTAAGTGTAGTGGCTGGAAGTGGAATTTGAATTGATGATTAGATTGGTGGGGGCATGTTAAGCCTAAGGTAACATCAAAAGGTACATCCATCCCTATCCATTGTTAATCCATTATCCATCCCTTTCCCTTGGGTTGTGTTATATAGACAAGGGAGGGAAAGTACGATATAAATTCTACGATTGGTCGGGAATAAGCGAACTTTATACATCGGAAAGGTGTAGGTTGTATGGGATTATTTGCCCATCCATCTATCGCCTGTTCATCAATCTGGTATCAACTTTGTATGGGTTACGAGTGCGATTGCGAGTTACATCCACTACTCATGCACATACATATACATATATCTATGCACTACATACATACTACTGAGTGAGGCTGTAAATGTGTTAAGACCTTTTCAATACGGACGCATGCATTGAACGCATAAATCTCAAATCCCGACAATTCTGAGAGCTGCACTCGAGTACATGATGCAGCGCAGGGACGAAATGGGGGATCGGCGAAGGAAATTGGAGAAGAAGAAAACAATCTCATGATCATGAAATCATTCAATGGAGCCAAAGGGGACATGGATTCCAACACTAGAAACAGATCTTTCCGTGTTGACATTTGGACTTGGTACATATATATCGTTCCAACACTCCACCTCTGATCATCGGTTCCGACGAGAAGGAACAATATATTAAACACGTGTGGAACTGGGAAAACAAAAGAATTGTAACCTATATGAATCTGGTGATATACCCAGGTACGTACTTTCGAGACGAAGTGTGATGCACGCTGAGAAGAAAGAAAGCCACCACCTCGTTGGAGGAACCCTAGGTATTTTCGTCTGATGTTCGAGTATTCGTCTCATCCTATTCCCATCCATCCATCCATTCATCCATCCATCCAAACGCAATACAACCCTCTTAACCTTCCCAGATCACCAACCTAATACCAATCCCCAAATCCCGATCCCAAGTACTAGTAACTAACTCAATTCACCGTTCGCATCTCAAAAAAATTCCTCGGATCAATCAGTTCCACCCTCGTTTAATTTCAGCCGATCAGGCTAGCCGCTCCCATTTCAGTACTGGCCCGAGTGCGCAACCATGTAACCCCGACGGAGCGCCCAGTAGCGAGGTTGCATACACCATGTACGCGTATTTAGTACAAACACTTCTGAAGTTCTGGGAAATTTTGCAAATTGTTTTACATGTGTATTGTTTGTGTTATCAAGATGGAAAGGTACAGTTAGTTTCGAGCTTTCTGCATACCGTCACACGAAGAATTCTAGTTGTAGGTAAGGTGCCGTTGTATTTAATGCGGGCGCGAGAACTCAGTCCAGCTGGGCTATAGTGACATGTTAGATAATGCAATATTGTGATCACCATGTAATTCACATAGACTTCCAATCTGCATTTTGCACATGTAGTATGGCGTGACACTTGAAGCATGTCGATGATTCGGAAGAATACAGACTAACTTTTGATTCAGATCATGGATATCAGTTTTCCAGAAGAAGAAAAAGTTCCCCACAGTCCACGTTTTTTCAATCTTCTAGGCTTCAAGGGTAATATCTACGTTCACATGGATCGAAGTCTTGAGAAGCTGTAAATGTAGCGGTCAAACTTGTGTCTCGAGAAGCCCTAGAAGCCGGATTCACACCCTTATCCCCTGCAATGGAAGGGTGGGATTTTAGGCACGGGTTTGTTGAGGAACTTGAATGCGACATGACATGAAATGATATGATGTGATTTATGAGTAAGGTAAGCTGATCTAAGCGCCTGTACAGATCGATTGGCAAGAGATATGCGCAAGTATTCAAATGCCCGATTTTGGTATATTGCATCCTTTGCGTCACAAGGAACATTTGCATCTCTGGAAAATGGTAGCTGGCATAGGTGATACAAGGTGATGCTAGTAATCTAAAATAATTAACTGCCGTTTGATTTCTCGGGTAGAGCCCGAGTCTCGCCTGCAATTACGATTTCGGGCGTAGCTTTTGGTTTGGCATCTGCTAGTCCCCCAGATTTCAAACTCGTTGAAGGTGACTGGAGCTCGTAAAGGTTATAGCGCTTAAGCTTTTCCCAGTCATCTCCAACGACACTCATACCACAAATAGTCTAGCCAATGCAAGTTAGCATGCTGATCTCTGCATTTGTGGGTTTGCATTCGTTACCTGGTAAATCTCGATTATTATCACTTTGTCTGGCCTAGTGAGATTGACCTTATGATTGTCATCCACCAGAGATGCGACCTGTTTAATCACGGCATCCCGCTTTAATGTGCTATGATTGCGTATCGTGGGTCGAATAGCGTACTGCAATGCGGTCAATCAATGTTGACCCAAAAGTCAAACAAGCTAATCAAACTTTGAGGCTAGAACTTCAATGTCGTGGCAGCACTATACGCAAAATAGGAATACGTACCGAGTATGCAGCAACTTCTTCCGATTTTACGGCTTCTCCAGCAAGTCGGAAATGAGCACCTAGCACGGCCTGTCCGACTTCTTCGATACCTTTTTCTGTTGCTTTCCCAATAATTGACATTGGTGTTAGACGATTTACAAACCTCAATTTTCTCACCGCGCCCGATGCTGCATCTTCACACATCCTGTGAACGAGATCGGCTGGGTCTATTGGCGGTCGTGTTCTGAAGAACAGCACGCACTGAATATCTAGGTAAATTGCCGAGAAAAGCTTCTCTGCAGGATCTTTATGTGCTGCAACTTCTTTTCGAATGGATGCTTCGATATCATCAACTGATTCGGTAGCATCTTCATCTTCCTCATCACCCTTTTCGTTGCTTGACTTCACGGAAATACCATAGTATTTCTCAGCAGACTAATTGCAATTTAGCATAACCCGGTAGAAGTTTGGAGCTGAAACTTGATAACTAACCTCCTCGAGTAGACTCCTCAGTTCCTCTGTCGCCTTTCCTTCTTTGCCTTTCACGCACGTTGCCCAAATCCCTTGGTCACCTGGTTCTATTTTTCCACCGCTCTTAGAGGCCATTTTGGTTTGCTGATGCGGAGTCTGCCATTTGCCATTTGAACCGCCCTGCATAAGAAGTCAGAGGGATTTCGGAGAAACAAATAGGATCAAATTGAAACATAAACTGTGAAGCCCGAGAACCGTTTTGAAGCACTACAGCAACCCTGAATCAAAGATAGACAGCCTGTCCGAGCCCTCTTCCACTAAGTTGCAACATCTCATTGATGATGAAAACAGAAAACATGCTCTGGTCTGCATATCTTGGAGCCATCACGAAATTTGAACATTTCTTTCAAGTAAACCTGGAGGAATAAGGTCCTTGACAGTAAACCTCGCCGAGGGACCACTCTCAAATCGAAGACTTCAATTGAAATCAAGACTCTTTTCCTTTTCCGACTGCCGCCAAAACCACCACCAAATCACATCCAATTGCTTCGGTTCCCTCCCTTTCTACTTTCACTCCAAACATAAATCCTCCATAAATTCAGAAAGAAAAAAGGAAAGCCACATACCTTAGCTCTCTTCCCCCCTCTAGTATCCCCATCTCTCGCATCTCTTCCGCCGCCTCCAGATCTTTCTTTCCTCTTATTATTTGAATCCGCCATATGCTGAACTTGCGCCTGTCAGATTCTACTCTCAGATTAGTCTCGATTTCAATCCCACCTTGCTTCTACAATTTATTAGAAGAAGAAGTGAGTTCGTAGTTGTTTTAACTACTTGTCCGACATTCAAAATCACGCCGCCCAAACAAAATGGAAAATGTCGCTTAGTCAGGCAGTCTAAAATACCCCACTTCGCCGCATTGGGGTAAGGTATGCAATGAATTGTGAATTGGTGGGAGTTTTGAAGACAATAAAGCAAAATTTGCATTAGAACTCGATGTTGAAAGTTCCAATAATCTGGAGTTGATCACATCCCATGATGTTCTTGTGTACTGGTTTCGCTCCTGCATATAAACCTCCATGTTAATTCTAAGGATTCATTCGATGGAATCACAGCAATCAAAGCATAACAGTTTCTTGTTGTAACGAATACAGCAGAGAAGAATTTCATTATTTCATTATTTTCATTATCCTAATCGGATTCCCGATCCATACGCCTCAAATGCCCCGATCATTTTGATTTCGAAGCTCAAAATATTATTCACTCCTTTGCGTTGTTCTTTGCACTCGCCTCAGCCGTCAAAACCAATGCTCTTGGAGCATCCTCCTTTGGAATATACAATTCCACAAACTGCAAGCAGTCCACAGCGTTGAACTCTTTATCCGTGAAAAGCTCATTGACTTGGTCTTTGGTCTTAATCTGGTGAAGCTGGTATTTGCCTTCTTTGGCACCAAATGCTGGCACCAGATCTTTATTGTTCCAGGTCGCAATATCGTTGTATTCTGCTTCCATGCCGTGAATAAATCTCTCAATGGTGTAGCCATCATTGCAAATTACAAAACTGTATTGATCATTAGCCATAAAATATGTTAAAAGGGGAAGCAACGTAACTTACATAATAGGTTTCAATCCAAGGCGGATCATTGTGCTTACTTCTTGAGCCGTGAGCTGGAAACTACCATCACCAACAAACAAGATGGTTCTTCTGTCATTTCCAGCATCTCTGGCGGCCAGTGCAGCACCTTGACAAGCACCAACGGAGTATCCAATACTGCCCCACAACACCTGGCTGACAGCTGTCACTCCCTTTGGAAATTTCGTCTCCCAAATGCCGAAATTGGCTGTTCCAGTCTCGGTAATGACAATATCATTCTCCTTCAAGAACTCGCCAGCCCTGGGCCAAAACCATGCTTGGGTAATGGTATCTGAGCTATCTTCGTTTGCGGTAACCTTGTTTTCCATCTTGGGCCCTGGAACGGCGGAGAGCTTTTGAAGGTCGATTTTCTTGATAATCTTCCGCAAAACCCCGCGCATATGAACGCCTGGGTATTCAGAATAACGAACGACAATTGTTGTGCTGTGAAAGTCGATTGTGTTAAGTTGAGAAGTCTTATAGGAGAATCCAGCGGTGTTGAAGTCACTCTTGATGGCTCCAATCGTCAAAATGAGGTCCGAAGACTCGACTCGCTTTTTGACATCTGGCTGACTACCACTCCCAGCGTAGACACCTCCATAGTTTTCATAGGTCTCGTCGACAGCACCCTTGCCCATTGGAGTGACAAAGACAGGCAAGCCAGTCTTTTCTATTAATCCGTGCACCTCTGGGATGACTCTGTGTCTAATAGCGCATGCATCAACGAGGATGATGGGGCTATTGGCGGCCTCAAGATACTTGAGAACTACATCAACGACATAATCCTCCTTGTCCGGGTTATTTGCGGGTAGAGACAAGTCAATGGGTCTCTTCAATCGTTCTCCTTCTACCTTCTTCTGAACCATATCTGTTGGCAGTGTAATGTAGACCGGCTGGCTGTGGATCCAGCATTGCTGTAGCGTATGGTCGATCAAGGCAGCCGCTTCGTTGGGATCATTAATTTTGGCCATGGCGCAAGAAATCTCCTTTGACATATCTGCGAAGACATTGAAGTTTCCGTTTCCAAGTGTATGATGCAAAAGCATGCCATCCTTTTGCGAGATTGTCGAAGGGGTGCCAACTATGTGGACAATAGGGACTCGTTCGGAGTATGCACCAGCGATGGCATTGATCGCTGAGAGCTCTCCCACGCCAAAGGTAGTCATGATTGCTGAAATTCCTTTCACTCGAGCATAGCCATCGGCAGCATATCCTTCATAAAGTTATCATTAGGTATGAAAGATTGGCTGATAGAGGAAAACTAACCTGCATTCAACTCGTTGCAATTGCCAACCCATTTCAATCCAAGTTTAGGAATGTAGTCGAGAGCAACCAAATTGTAATCTCCTGGTAAGCCATGAATAGAGTCGATTCCGATTTGCTTCAATCTCGTGAATAGATACTCAGCAATATCCACTGGGGATTTGAGAGACTCAGTCCTGAGATCCACCATGTTGATTGATGATGGCGGGGTTGGTAGAAGTGGGACTTATGAGATGTATGGAGGCTTAAATGTTCAACTTGTTCTCGTTGAATGGTGGATGAAGAAATACTAAATAGATGAGAAAGTAATGAGGATCAGAAATTAAATACGAAACCGGAAAGAAACTCCTCAGTCTTTATAATATGTTTGTCTTTGGTTTTGGACAGCCGTTTCTGCCGTCGATACCGATATCACCCATCATCCATCAAATCACCCCACCAAAAATGACGTTTTGCTTGGGTGAGCTCTTTTGAGACTGGAAGCTGCAACGGCAAAGCATGATTTTAACTCCATCATGGGCTTATTATTAAGCAAGCCACACATGTATTTCATCCATACAGATCTCCAGCTAGGTACTCGTAGAATATTTAGATCCGTACAATGAATGTGGTTTGTCAACGACGGGATGATTCCGATGTCAATGAAAAGTGGTCTGATGGAAGATACGAATATCATGGTAAAGAAGTTAGGATATTCAATTTGTCGGTTTATATAGAAAGAGGTTTAGTATGACAAAGTAAGATCACCTAGGTGGTATATGGGCATATGAGGAACAAATGATACGACGTATTGACTGCATGAGAGTGGAAACTCAATTACGATGTACGGGAGAAAAGTGGATAGATAGCTCGAGGCTCGAGATGGTCATCATGGACTAGACTAGATGGTATTCTTCATACTAAATATTTTAGTGTGCCGTTCGTTATTGGTATCAACTGCATCCTGCCATTTCATACCTTGATTTGAAACCCGATCGTTCCATGAGAATTTCTCAACTTCCGCCGTCGGTCAGTTCACAGGGCTGTCTCTGTCTCTCTCTCTCCATGCTCGATATTGTAGAGCATCAATAAATCGAGAACTGGTGAATGTTCTATGTAGTATTCAGATGTTAAATAGCGATTGTCGAATGGTGGTTTGATATCGAATATTAAAGAATATATTTTCATGGTGTCCTGGGGTTTCGTCTTGCTGCATGCAGACTGTCTACTCCGTATATGAATTACCCAGTTACTACTTCGTACCGTTAACTCTTCATGCTGGTGAAGAGCAGTCATACGAATGGGATAGATCACCGTAATACCGGAACACTTTGAAATTTGTAGTTTGCTCAACATAATATAATGACCAGTGTATGAACGAACTCCTTTATTACCCAGGTCCTCGTAAATTGATATGCGGATAGGAAATAAGCAGCACCTTCTATGCCTTTGGTGGTTCCACACACATTTTCGTTGGTGAATAGGAGGTAGAGGGAGAAGGAGAAACGAGCTTACAGCTTACCTACAGGCCATCCCATCGTTACACTATTTCATGAACACCCACGCATACTTAGTCTTGATCAATTGATTGACGTTCCGCGGGCCTTCCGGGAGCCACTGCCGTGGATGCAGGCTATTCGGATAGGATAGGGTGTAGGACCCATTGTGTAAGAAACGCTGGGAAGGGACATCTCTCCCCAATGCAATTTTAGGTGTTGCCCATACTACCCTGCCCACCTCGATGCCTCTCACAACCTAATAAACCTTTACAAAGGTGCCCTGCTCTGTGGCCCTGTTGCCCCGTTGCCCTGCAATTGTGAAACATAGGGAAAACCAAGATGTGGCTGAAGCAAATCAAAATTTGGCTGATAATTGATAATTGATAATAAAAAAAACACCTAAGCGGGGGTGAATGGAATGGATTGTCCGGTACTTAATCCTTCTTTCTTTCTATACCTAACCCTACGAGTAGACTAGGGAGTTCGAAATCTTTAGCCTTGTTTACAAAATCCCCCCCCCCATGCGATGCCATGCCATGCCATGTACAATACTACTACTACCTACTATGATATATGCCTTTGGTCCTGAAAACCCTTGGAAAAATAATAATTATTCAACCCATCTACACAAATCATTTACATGAACTTTGAACTTTTCTTTTTGCTTCAATTTGGTCTACTTTGAACTTTTCTTTCATAAGATTACACATACACAGTATACGAAATCTAGTCCTCGAATTTGCGACAATCTCTCGGCGCCTATACCCGTCATACCTTGGTTGGTTATCTTTGCGAGATTTCAACATTCCAAACAAAGACCAGCATTGCGATTTTCCAATATTCTTTGGACTCGCTCAATTTGATCTAAACATGCGCAGGCGACCATGAACCAGTGCCCCCGAAGCTCTTCCACAAGATCAAATACAAGCTTTTTAGACTCAGGTCGTGCTGTGCAGGCCTCACCTCGAAACAAACCTTCGAATAACGAGCTTACAATCCCTGAAAGTAATTTACTTCTCAACAACGTTCCAACTTACGCAGTGAGTAGCTCTGCAAGTCTACTTATTCCTACCGCCTACGGAACAGGTTCATCTTACCCTACAATTGTTTCATCGAGCTCCCCATCACGACCCAGAGCTCATTCTGCGGCGACCAACCCGCAACCCCCTTCTCTGTATTCGTCTGCTACCCATTCTCGACATTCTACGCGATCCGGCTCGGAAATATCAATGTCGTATCAGCCAGGAAGATATCAGTCGGCCGGCGACCAAAGGCAATATGGGCTCCCTCCACCACCTCCCATGTCCCCGCCATCTCAACCGCATATGAACCAGCTGAACTTGAACAATATACCTCCACCACCGCCGCGAAATAACATACCTCCACCTCCACCCATAGTTTCCAATAACTGGCAACAGCCACAGCAAACTTGGCTGGTCAATAACAATAGGCCATTTCCTGGGCCACCGGCGAATCCTCCAAACACAAGCCAATACCACGCC